ATATACACATCATATGCGCTTTGTACTTTTTTTTGCATCAATAAAATAAATAATTTTTTTAAAAAAAAAGACCACCAATCGGTTTGCCCCTTTTCTGGGCATTAAGGAAGCCGCCTAGTTGGAACAAGTCCGAATCGGTGGAGCTGGCGGATGGGTTTGAGAAGCGAACCAGAAGTCGAAGGGTAGTGTGGAAGAGTTGGGCGCCTCAACTAAAGATATTGGGTCATGAATCAGTGGAAGGTTTTTGTTGACTCATTGTGGATAGAGTTCCGTGATAGAGAGACTCTAGTTTGGGAAACCACTTATTATGTTGCCGTTCATGGTAGACCAAGGTTTAAATGCAAGGGTACCCCATCCATGAGAAGGTTGGGATTGAGATACCGAGAGGTGAAAAGATGGCCACCTTAGTTTTCGGGGCCTTAAGGCAAAACAAAAATGGAGGTTTGTGAGGTCTATATTCACAAATAAAAAAACATCACCCTATTTAGTATTACTACGATCGATTGATACCAAAATAGATATCAAAATATATTCATACAAAGAAAAAAAAAAGTTATCAAAATGAGAAAAACTTTATTCAATTAAAATGTATTGGATATGCATTGAATTAATTGTTGTTTATTGAATATGTCGTTTATGAGTGTGTTTGAGTATGGTTGCATTATTGTTTATTGAATATGTTGGGTGTGAGTGTAATTGAGATTGAATTAATTGTTTATTTCACTAAAATTTGATAAACAAAGAAGGTAAAAAAAAAATTATGACAAATTTATTTATTCTACTAAAATCTGATAAAGAAATAAGGTAAAAAAAAAATAGGGGGCCTATTTTGGGCCACCAACAATTTGTATGTATATATAGTGTTTCTTATCCAAGGGTCACTAACATTTTGTACATATTTTAATTTCAATTGGGCCAAACCACACTTATAAACAAATATTGGCCAACAGAATATTTTTAGGTCTTTTAGATTGGCCCTAAAATAACAAAAATAATTTAGGCATATTTATATTTATAATATATTATAATTGTCATGACCCAAACCCGTCCCTATGGATTAGAGTCATAACCAGCCAATAATCACGAGATTACTTGTGGCCTCAGTCAGAAACCGAATCATATTTGATAATAGAGGGCCAAATTGCAGAAGCAAAATTTACAAAGATTGTCCAATGAGCTATGCATACATGGCTTAACCAAAATATTATTATATATATATAATAACTCACACCATATGAACATTCATATTAAGTATGTAATACACACGTCCAGGATCATTCAAGTTAGTATTAACAAAAACCACGCTTATGCACAAGGATGGTCATTCATGACCACAAAAGATCAAAAGCAAAAGATCAAGGGTCAAGTAAAACAAAAGCAATGTGTGAGGCGACCTTGGTTGATCTCTCAAGACTTGGCTTCTCATTGCTCACTGGGGTTGGGGCTGGACATCCCGCTACTCACCTACATACATAAATATCAACAGTGAGTTAACGCCCAGTGAATAATATCAAAACAAAGGAGTTCATGAACAAAATTATTATATCACAGTTCATTATCACACTTAGTACTCAATGATAAAGCAGAACGATCTCAGGTCCTTTACATCATATCCCAAGTACAAAACGACCTTGGATCCATGTAACATACAGAACGACCTCGGGTCCATCATAGGCAAAACGACCTCGGGTCCAACTTACGTATTGAACGACCTTGGGTCCATTACACACTAAACGATCTTAGGTCCAGTACTCACAGAACAAACTTAGGTCCAATACTTGCACACATTCATTGTGTGCATACATCCAGTCTATGATCATATTCATTCTTATATCCAGAACGACCTTAGGTCCATATCTTTTCCTTATCCTGAGCGGCCTTCGGCCCATTTGATAATCATACAGAACGGCCTTAGGCCCAATTCGCATTCCCATTGAATATACTGAACAGCCTTAGGCCCATTTCACATTCTCATCGAATATACCAAACGGCCTTAGGCCATTTCATACTCATACATTAATAGCTTTGTATATCTCATTTCAAATTGAGTGATTGGAACGCTCATTCATATTAACACTTTTAAGGTTTAGGACTTTACCACATATGCATTGTTTAGAAAATAATGCGTATACGAAAACATCCTCGCTAAGATATTACTCACTGTATTCCGGTGCTTGATTCGTCCTTGCACTCGACCCTACATAATTCATAACATATCGGGTCATAATACCATTCAATCCATTCTTTAATTTGCTTAATGCTTTTAGGCTTCTTTCGTGTCCTTTAATTCATTTAGAATGTCCAATGCATGCCTAAGAGTGTTTAGAAATGAAAGAGATCGAAAAACGAATCATAAAATGACTTTTCAAAATTTTTGAAACAGGGCTCTTCGCTCGAGCGCAGCTTTGGTTGCTCGAGCGGACTGCAAAACTCTATAAAAGTACTGGTTACATGAATTTCATGCTTGAGCAAGATTTCTGACGCTTGAACGGGGAGTCTTGCAAAGCAGGGTTCTCTCGAGCGCAGAGTTTGGCGCTCGAACCACCGTGTAAATTTCTGTAAAATTTCTAGGAGCTCAACTTTCACGCTCGAGCAACACTTTCCTCGCTCAAGCAGACAAGTCAAATTCTGAGTTTTCCAGAACTCTGTTTGAAGCTCAAAACTCAATTCCAAGGGTCCAATTCGAGTATAACTCACTCAATTATGCAAGAATACTCCCAAAAACATATATTTGAAGAGAACCTTCAACCATAATTCAAAATTCTATGGGTTTAACAAATTTCAAACCATAAACTTTATATATACACAATTCATGGTTGTATCTTGCATGTACAAACTTCAAGGCTTGAAATCGAGCTTCAACATATGGAGATTCTTACATGCATGTGTCAAACAACCTTCAATACAACATGATTAACATGCTCCATAAACAAACATGCAAATTTGTGGATAATTCTCTCATGCATGTACATATCAACTTCAAATTCATTACAATCAACTCAATTCTTGTTCTTAATTATTTATCATGCTAGAACTCATGTAATTATGGACTTAAACTCAAAAATTTGAGTTCATTACTTACCTAGGAGCTCTAATCTTCCAATTCCTAACTAGTTCTTAAGTTTTCTTTTTCAATCTTCAAGCTCCCTGCCCAACTCTCAAATTTAGCTTCACTCTCTCTCTCTCTCTCTCTCTCTCTAGAGTCGTCTCTCACTCTCTCTTTCTAGAGGGTAACTTTAGATTTTGAGCTCATAATATGAGCTTAAGTGTGTTTGGCCCTTATATATACTAAGTGGTTAGTTTAAACTAATCCATCTTAATTAAGATTAATTAATTGTACTTAATTTAATCAATTTAATCTAATTGTTTTGATCCGAAACAATTATCAATTAAATTTCACCATAGGCTCTAAAAATCATGTTGAATGCAAAAACACAATAAATTTCGATTTCTGTCACCTTTACGGCCTTCAATTTAAATTTTATGACGGAAAGTCAAACAGATTTTCTTACAGTGAATAGATATAAATTCACAAACACCCATAATCATATAATTAGCACTCAAAATCGTATTAACCTCATAATTATAAGCATAATTAAGATTAATTAGCATAAACTAGAGTTGGGTTATCACAATAATACTTCTCTAAATTTGAAGGTCTTATTTTAGACTAATTTTTTAAGGTTTAAGGCACAGACTTCAATGGCCTTAGCGCAGGACCAGTTGAAGGAAATCAGTGGCTAACTCAATCAGATTGGTTATTATAGAAAGCCAGAGAGATGAGGAATCAAGATCTTCTCCTTCATCTCTCTCCTTAACTCCCTCTTTGCTAGCCTATTGGGCCCATGTTTGGAACTAATTTTGATGATCCAAACCGTTCATATTTTAAAATTTGTTGAGTATATTATACCTGTTAAAAATCAAGTTAATCGAATATCAGAAAGCATGTGTTCGGATATCCAATCAACTTGATTTTTTATAGATATTCGATGAACTTGATTTTTTATAGGTATGATATACTCAACAAATTTTAAAATGTGAACAATTCGAATCATTGAAATTAAATCTAAAAAGTGAGTCCAATAACCTAGCAACGAGAGTTAAAAAGAGAGATGAAGAAAAGGATCTTGATTCGAGAGGTGAGTGGCGTATTTGGCGACAAGGTCCTGCATGATCAGGGATCAGTACATGAACAATTTTGTTGAGTATCTCCAAAAAAATAAATAAATAAATAAAAAGAAAATAATTAGCGTAGATGCCACCCCCATGAAGGTTGAGTTTTAAATAATAAAAAAGATCTACGCTCTCTCATAAGAGGATTGGGATCCTCACGGTTGTAATTTCAAGATTTCCCTTCCCTCTCATAAGAGGATTGGGATCCTCACGGTTGTAATTTCAAGATTTCCCTTCCCTTATATTATTTAAGGGTTGTGCAAAAATCACTGTAATAAGGCCTCGTTTGGCAAGAGGCTATTTTAGCCAATTAGCCAAAAAGTTACTAAATTAGTCAAAAAGCCAACAACCCATACCAAAAAGTCAAAGATTCTCTTTTCTCTCTACTTTTTGCACATCTTTTCGTAATTAGCCAAAAAGTCATCCCAAACATACAAGTTTTTTTTACCTACCTTTTTAGCCAAATAGCCAAAAAGTTACTAAATTAGCCTGTTCCCAAACGAGGCCTAAATGTAATGAACTTAATTTAGTTTGAAATCACTAGAGAGGAGCAAACTGTAACTCTAGCCAAATTTTGACAATATTAAATATTTTGGAATAATAGCTCCAATAGCAAATCACTAGAGATGCTTTAACTTGCCAGATTTTAACCTTCCCTCCATTTTCCCTCTCCGGCCAAAACTATAGATCCATAGAAGTATTTTAAGTGATTCTAACTTTCTTTTTTTTGGCTGTTTTGAACTACAGCCAAGTTGTGTAATATGAACTGTTATGCGAGACGTTGTTATTATTCCCCAAGAAAACCTTTCACCATTTAACACTAAACATTAAACTTAAACTAGGACATATACAAGAGAAGACAACTACAACGAAAAGGTTCAGCCAACCTGATGTATATTTATGACAAAATGTTGGCATAATAACTTCAATCTCCTCCATGGAAAGTTTCATCCCATCCTTCAAGCTTTATATACATAAATTTAAACTATAAAATATACAGGAGAAGAAGATAATTTCTACAACAAAGACGTCTAAAAATTAAAAACAAAAGTGCATTATTAGTACCAAGGCTATGAAGCTGGGAATGTTTTTATAGTTTAACTCACCAATCATTATCCCCCTAGCTATATTTTGTATTTTTTACTTTGGAGGAGAGGTAGATTTATTTTCCTCTGAATCATGCTTTAGCGTAGCATCCCCTCCCATCAGTTCCTGAAAACCTTCAACCTTCACCGGCGGAGCCCTGACAGTGCCCATGCTCCTGCATCAATCAATCAAAACCGCAAAATTTTCTCCCAATTCCATCAACTCATTTAAAATCCATTATAACAAGCAAGTAGGCCTTACTGTGTCTGGACTTGAGGAATTTGAAGGGAAGCCAATTGTCTAAATTGATTGCTGGCTTCAGGATGGAAATTTGACATTGCAGCAATTTGCTGTTGGCGGAACTGCAGTTGGGGATGATGTCTGGCATTGATTGCGGTTAAGGCATTACTATCAATTGGAAATTCAGCCGGGTTTTCAAGCTTGACTTCCACCAGGGGTTTTATGTTATCCATTCCAGGACGAGATGTTGATGGTTGCCGTTGTCGCATACTTTTCCACTGTTGCTGTTGCTGAAAAGCCAGATTTTGGGGATGAACCATCTGCTGCATCTGTGGACGCATTTGTCTTGGCATCTGTAGAGTCACCACCCCCAGAGCAATCATTTTCATCATCTTACTGCTATCTTCCAAATTAAAAGCAACAAATTCCAAAACCCTAGTAAAAATCGGGAATATTATAAACTGTAAATGCAAACTGCATCAGTTTCACTCAATTTTTCATTCAACAGCATGATTCAGAACATTTTGGTGGGAAATCGCATCAAACAGTATGAATCGAATCGTGAATCACACAATTCTAACCACCACACAAACAACTACATGCACTATAGAACCAGAAGCAGAGCACACCCCTATAGAAAGGCAAGAAAAGTAGCTAGACATACTTGCTGGGGTTGTCGAAGGGGCGCCTGCTGCTGTGACTCTGTCTGTGACTGGATAACCTGCATTTGTTGATGAGTTTGTTGCACAGGATTCCTCGTACTATCGCTTACGAGCTCTGCTAAAGCCCCAAGGCCATGTTTGATTTCACAACATTAATAGTGAGGTATTAATAATTCAATCAAATTAGTGTGGTATTCATAATCCCACCTCTATTCCATTACTAATAATCCTACAAATTTGTTAGATTAATTATCCATTGGATTGATAATCTTAAAACAAAATGTCAAAACAAACATAATATAATTAAGTCCGTAGATTAATAATCTCAATCTCATGCTCTAATCCTTCCAATCAAACATGCCGCAAGATTACTAATGATGGAAGGGGAAAATACGTAATGACAGAAGGGAAAAATAGGTTAGATAATTGTGATGAGAGAGAGAGAGAAGCCAAATATATAACTTTCAAGAAATGAATCAAAACTTAAGGAGAGAGACTAATAAAGTAAACATAGAAAGAGTCACAAAACAAATGATACATGTGAGCACATTATCATGCACATAAAGATGCCAAACATGCATAACATACCCAAAATAGCACAAAGATGCCAAACATGCATAACATACCCAAAATAGCACAAAGATGCCAAACATGCATAACATACCCAAAATAGCACAAAGATGCCAAACATGCATAACATACCCAAAATAGCACAAAGATGCCAAACATGCATAACATACCCAAAATAGCACAAAGATGCCAAACATGCATAACATACCCAAAATAGCACAAAGATGCCAAACATGCATAACATACCCAAAATAGCACAAAGATGCCAAACATGCATAACATACCCAAAATAGCACAAAGATGCCAAACATGCATAACATACCCAAAATAGCACAAAGATGCCAAACATGCATAACATACCCAAAATAGCACAAAGATGCCAAACATGCATAACATACCCAAAATAGCACAAAGATGCCAAACATGCATAACATACCCAAAATAGCACAAAGATGCCAAACATGCATAACATACCCAAAATAGCACAAAGATGCCAAACATGCATAACATACCCAAAATAGCACAAAGATGCCAAACATGCATAACATACCCAAAATAGCACAAAGATGCCAAACATGCATAACATACCCAAAATAGCACAAAGATGCCAAACATGCATAACATACCCAAAATAGCACAAAGATGCCAAACATGCATAACATACCCAAAATAGCACAAAGATGCCAAACATGCATAACATACCCAAAATAGCACAAAGATGCCAAACATGCATAACATACCCAAAATAGCACAAAGATGCCAAACATGCATAACATACCCAAAATAGCACAAAGATGCCAAACATGCATAACATACCCAAAATAGCACAAAGATGCCAAACATGCATAACATACCCAAAATAGCACAAAGATGCCAAACATGCATAACATACCCCAAATAGCACAACATTGATTCCAAAAAACTGAGTATACCATGTTTCTAGCAATTCTTCATGCCTGAATATCTGGGCCATGTTGTCCATATCTTTTTCACGATATCTTGGTCCAATACCAATGGCTTTAGATTGGAGCTGCAAAATTTGTTAACAATATGAGTAAAATGACTCAACTATAACAGAAGTGTGAAATTGAAAACATATCATTTTAATATGCACTACTTGTGGTTCCAGTACATAATAGTAATAATTACATTGCATAATGGCCAGATAATAGTTTTCGAAAGAAGTCATCATATACATCTTTCCAAAGCTATTATCCGACAAATTGCTGTACTCTCTATCCAATGCAATTAGTACCATTATGGGCTGGACCCACAACAATCACCCCCTCTAGTCCATAGAGAGAAAACCACCACGTAACATTGTAATTGAAGCTCATACCGGCCACTTTGTGCAGAACAAAAACTTCTCTTTAGGGACAACTTTAGTCATCATATCAAGTGATTTTCTCAATATGAATTTTATTCAACTTCATAATCCTTCTACTCTATGTTGATGATATTTAATAGCGGGACATGATGTGAGGATGATTAATGTAACAACTCCAATTTATGATTACCGTTAATCCATGATTTAATATGCTTAATAATTTATTAAGATTAGATTTTGAATTAATTGTATATGTGTTGCATAATTTGTGTTTTTATCGGTTCATCGTAGACACATCTGTTTAAATTCATGTTCTGTTATGTAAATCGAAGGCCTTATCGACATCCAATCACGAAATTAGCTTAATATATTTGTTATTTAGAATTTTTAGAACATTATGGTAGGTTCAATTGAAATTCGATTCGGAAAGATTGAATTAGAGTAAATAATGTCAATTGATTAGCCACTAATGAAGTCTTCCTAATGGATCCTATATAAGACCACTTTGACTCCTTTAATACATTTTTCCACTCTCATTACACACTCCTCATAGCTCAAACGTGAAAGAGGGAGAGAAAAGGGAAGACTTGAGCTCGACTAGAGTGATTGCTAGAGAATTTGGAGGAATTGACTTGAACTTAGCTAGAATTTAAGACATTTGGGAGAATCACTCAAGGACCCAAAGAATTGAAACTTATAGGTAGGGAATTCAACCCTTGAATTATGTAGTTTACTCATTTAGTTTGTGAATTCAAAAGAAAATGAAAGGTTAGTGCATGAAATGAACTAAGGTAGTAGGAAAGAAAAAGAGTAGAGCATGCATGTGCATTTTATGGTAGTTTTGAAGTTGATTTCAAGTAAATTTTCCATGCATGTCACGTTTTCAACTTAATTATGAAACTTCATCATGTTTTTCATCAAGTTCCTTTGTTTGAGCATGATTTGAAAGGTCTAAGTTCAAAGAAATTGTTTATATGTTTATATCACGAGTTTTGAGTTTGAATTCAACAAATTCACTTGTTCTTGGGCCTTGATTTTGCAAAATGATCTTCAATTTATGATATCCTTCAAGTTTCTAAATGTTTCCTTAAGTTTTTGGCCCAAAAGAACCTAATTTACAGCTTGAGGTTTGAGATTGAAGCTTGGAAACAAATCTAGAAATTCCAGAATTCTGCTTCCACGCTCGAACGACAGATTCTGCGCTCGAGTGACCACCTTATTTTGCACTTCCGCTCGAGGGACGAAAAGTACGCTCAAGCGTTAAATGCATGCTCTCAGAAGTTTGCGTGTTTCGCAGACCGCTCGATTGAATTGTTTTCATGTTTATATCATGAGTTTTGAGTTTGAATTCAACAAATTCACTTGTTCTTGGGCCTTGATTTTGCAAAATGATCTTCAATGTACGATATCTTTCAAGTTTCTAAATGTTTCCTTAAGTTTTTGGCCCAAAATAACCTAATTTACAACTTGAGGTTTGAGATTGAAGCTTAGAAGCAAATCTGGAAATTTCAAAATTCTGCTTCCATGCTCGAGCGACAGATTTTGCACTCGAGTGACCAAAAGTACTCTCGAGCATAAAATGCATGCTCCTAGAAGCTTGCGCGTTTTGCAGATCGCTCGAGCGAAGGAAGTTACGCTCGAGCGACCACTCGCATTTTTCATGCCCACTCGAGCGAAGAAAGCTACGCTCGAACGGAAACCCTGCTTTCATAAATTTGACCAAGTGTTTTCCAATGCATTTTTGGCATCCTAGGCATTCTTAGGCCAAGATTAAGACACCATAATGAGGATAAGAAGTAGAAATACACCAAGATAAGAAAGAATTAACTATTTTCGAGTGTGTAATTCAATACGTGTTCTTTTGTAACTGTGTAGGTCACGCGCTACAAAACGTCTGTTCGCCCGGAAGTCATCTGTTAATTGTGAGTAACAACTCTATAAAGCTATGTTTAATTATAAGTTTTTTTGACTGATATGATACGATTTGTTTTTTGAAATGCTGTTTTATGAATCATGAATGAATGTTCATTTTTCTGACATGTAATTGTCGCATCCTTAGTTCACGTGGCCCTCGCCTAGGGGTAACAATACCGTGGCTAATATGCATGTGGCTCTTGTCTGGGGGTAACAATACCATGGCTACTTGTGCACAAGATGTGGACCTTTACGGTCGTCGGTACCGACTATACATGTGGGTCTCAGGACCAAGTTCTTATGATAACTAATGGATGTACCACATATAACTGCTTATGATTCCTAGATGAGTATATGAATCTAAATATGTTTCTAATTTGAAATCTGAATGTGCATAAGACTCTGATTTCTAACTCTATGATGGATATGATTCATTAAAATCCCTTTACCTTGTTATTATTCATTGGGCTCCATCTCACTATTTATACTATGTATGTAGGTGAACAAGCAAATGACCAAGCTCAGAGTTGAGGACCTGGCATCTCAATTTTGTCAGCCACCCTTCTGTGCCTCTCGGGAAGGTTCCCTTTGAGATGTCTCATTTTGTAATTTTACTGCAGATATTTTGTTGGGCTTATCTGTACTTAGGGCTAAGTCCCCATTTGGCTATACTTGTATAAATGAATGATATATGACCTATATATTTTTGACGTCACAGGTATATACGTAAGTTTGTTTTGAGGATTACTGGCAGGTTACGACGCTAAACCTATAGAGGCGGGTTTAGGTCGTGACAGAGTGGTATCAAAGCACGTGTCTTACCGCACACACGAATCCATATGAGCTTAGGATGTCCTAGTAAGAAGTAGGGGCATTCTATCTACATGTGTGAGTGTGTGGTAATCTTTATGAATGTGAAAACTTAATTTGAATCTGGACAAACGAAATTGAAAGAAATGAATAAGATTATTCCTATATTTATTATTATTTGGTGTCTCTATAGCAACATGGAGAATGCAAGGGGAAATGATACAAGTGAATCTTCTGAGGCCCGAATGAACAGAATGGAACAGATGTTGGCAGCCTTGACTGAAGCAATGATGCAACAACTAAGACAACAACCTTTGCCTCATCCACCTCTGCCAGTGTTAGCCGAACCGGACAATAATGACATCATCAAGTTGACTCAAAAATTTATGAAAATGAAACCGCCAACCTTCTTGGGTGGTATTGAACTATTGAAGGCAGAAACCTAGTTGCTAGAAATGGAAAAGTTTATTTGAAGTATTCCCTTGCTCTGTAACTCAGAAAGTC